TACAGCGGATTGTAGGATAAGTTAAGTTGTAGATGGGGCTAAATGCACTATACAGCGGATTGTAGGATAAGTTGAGTTGTAGATGGGGCTAAATGCACTATATATTTGTAATAGGGTTATTGATACAGCTTATGCGGAATTGTATTCATCTCGGATGTTACCTTTCCGAATAGAAAAGTCAATACCACAATGGTGGTAATTTCCATTTGATTTATTGAACGGTAAACCGCACGGTTATATGGGGTCATTTCCTGTGAATGAACGTCGAACACAAATAAAAGCTCGCAGACTTTATCGATATAAATAACAGTTTGTCCCCAGCCGTCGCAGCTCTCACTTTGCACCCCTTTTTAACTTCCTCGGATTTCTTTTCATTGATCCGTTTCGTCAAATGCATTGGACATTCTGGAATATTCGCGTGTCGGTTCAATAGCGAATAGCACAGATAGACGATGCAGCGAAGGTAATGACCCACAATAGTTTGTGCTAGCACCTAGAAGAATAACGATAGTCTAAAACGACCGACAGACAGGCAGACTGATAGCATCACACTCACATGCTGCATAGATCCTCTGTTCGAACATCCCGCAGTTGTAAAATATCCAGTGAAACGGGAAAGAAAACACTTTCGTTGTCTAGGCTTGTCGCAGCGGTTTCTACTGCAATTGTCGTTTGCAGCCTATGCAGTTTGACTTCTGACTAATCGTCCCAGTACAAAGAGTCTGGTCAGATCGGCTGAGAACGCGTTAGCATATATTCAGCTGATCTGATGATAGAAACTGCGGCACGGGAAAATTTGGAGTTCATCTTCTACTCAGAGGCTGGCGAATGGCATACATCTAGCACCATCTATCCGCCTGTTCGAATCTGTAGATCTTTACGTCTGGCTCTAGAATCGTAATTAGATATTCAAGTTTTACGAAGTATCGTCTTAGATCTGACTGTGTTATTTTCTGGTAAAAGCCTGCGGCGGTAAAAAGGGGTGTGCAGAACGCTGATAATATCCTCTTGTACTGTTAGCTTGACGATTGACTTTCGATATATTGATGGGAACTCCAAACGTGTTGAGAAGTAATTTTTGATTAGTGTTTCAAATGTGTGTGTGTGTTGATTTGTGACATGTTATGCAAAAGTCCTTGCGGTCCATTTTAATACCTGATTCACTTCCACGAAAAATATTTGAGAGAAAGTGTCGTGCATGGGCAGCAGAATCAGGAGGCTAGAATGTAAACAACTGACTCCAACACCACGTCTGAGCACCTTTTTTTTGGATCTCAAAAGTGTTAATATAAAGTTAAAATATAAAAAAAAACTAATTTATTTGACGCAACAAAATGCCACTGTGTGATCCTGAATCTGTCGTAAGTATTTACTTAAGACAGCCTGAAGTTATAAGCTATTTAAATGTGTTGTCTGCTAGATCCTGCCCTTAATCATACTAACGTTATTACTAAAGCATTTACCTATGATGTTGAACGGTTTAAAAAAGCGTTAGATGCAAACGCCCAGACTAATTGTCACTCGATTACAGTTATGGTAGAAGTGTTTTTAAATGGTGTTTTTCGAAAGTGGATTACAGTATTATATTAGAATTCTCTCCTTCTGTACCGCACCTTCTACATATAGAATTTAAACTAAGATAAAGTGTATGGTCGGACGATAAGGATAATAAGTATGTCTGCACATACAGATTCTATCCGTTGACTACTATTGATTAGAGGACTGTCGATACGGGGTTTTGGGTCAAGATACCGAAGTTACCCTGTTAACGAAAATAAGGGCATGTTGGAACGAGAAGATCGATGAGATGTATCTTGTTGGGTCGATACATGTACAGAATAAACATGTACGCCCGTCAGCTCGGCCAGAAAGTGAATGAACTGAGGCTATGCGTCACTCCTCATTTTATTCACGACGCCCTCGATAGTGAGACTGATGGGTTGAGCTGGAGGCAAGCCACGCAGAGCTGGTTTAAACTAGTGGTACATTTAGCTGCTTACCTACCTAAAGACAAGACATGACTCCCGTGCATAAATTTATAACGTTTACAGATCCTAAAAGGTAGCTTCAGATCACCGTTTTTCCAATAATAATTATTACAGGCTCTTAGAAAGAAGCCGAACTAAGGCGCATAAACTTTTCTAAATAAATACATTTCCAAAGTTTGTTTGGGGCAAAAAAACCTAGTACGCATAGATCACCTAGGCTGGAAATTCCGACTAGATAACTGCACAGTAAAATTCTGAGTGTATTTGGTATATGATTTACATATGGATGTTGTCAGTGATGATGACTCGTTACACGCACTAGTTTGTTTGGGTCTTTTGAGCATTTTCTATGTACCGTTCTATGCATTTTTTTTTAAGGACGGAGGTCCCTGACTAGAGATATTTATTTGTTGGTATAGATGACCACACTTCCAAATCCAGACGACTACTTTCTGGTAGTAGTAGCATGATTGCTCTGGTGCATTGTTATTGGCGCTCCGTGATAATTTATCTATTTTACTGCTCTTGTTCTTATGCGAGCTCTGCCGTATTGAGCGACATGGCAAGTCTGAAGCAACGATTCTTTAATTCGCAGATAAAGGCGACGAAAAGAGTAGACATTTAAACTATTTCTAGAGTTAAAGCAATAAGTCTGCAAACAAAAGGCGACGTTCTATTCATTAGGCATATTTGGTCTCGTTAATTGGTCGAAGTTTTATATTTTTAAATATTCCGTAGGTTGGCTAAAGTTGCGATATGTGGCAGATCGAATCCAGCCGCTTAATGTCAGCAATAGCAGTTTTTTTACATTCATTTGTTTTATGACATTAATTAATTTACATATTTATTTATCCAAAATATGGTATCTATATTGTAATGTACATGACAATCACATAGTCATTTATTTGCTAAATATGACATGGCAGGTTCGAAGGGAACCGCACTCATTTGTTCGTAAGTTACGCAAAAATATTTCCTAGTTTCCATTCTGGCTCCGGGAATAATAGACCTTCTACTTTTTAGATTACTTTGGTTTAAATTTGAAAGAATGTTTATTTGTCAAAATGTTAGATTCTCTATAAAACTAATAAAACTACGTATAACATAAATAGCGACATTAAAGTTTTTGGATAACTTTTTTCTAGACTTTTGATCGTGTTTTCCGTTTTAAAAAATCTGGTTCTCGCGAAGGGGGAATAATATTAAAGACCAGATAAAAAAAAAGAAAGAAAAAAGAAGAAAATGATTAATACAATTGAATATATAACTGCTTATTATCTTTCAATTATAAAAACACCCAGCAGAAATTCGGCCTAATAGTAAGTAACCTCTACGTGCATATTTCGTGTCTTCAGTGTTATTAACTGTAAATCTGAGTACCAGCCACAATTAAAAACTAGGTTGCTGATAAATGAATTCGGTTTTCACGGCTGCGACGAAGAGTTTATGGAATAGTCGCATATGAACCAGATACTTTAGGAGAATAATCAATATATTTCATATCAGACGGAAAAAAACTGTGCATATCAACCACTACAATAGAAAAACATGTTTGCTTCAACAGATCTCAAAAGGAGTTACAAAAAACAACTGGAATCATTCTCCAATTTCAGCTGAGACAAACGACCTGTCATTTGATTGAACAATCATGTTAGATGTATCGAAAACGTTCTGTTGGTCTACGTAAACGCAATAAGACTTATTACCATTAATTTTCATCAACTGCCTTGTGTATAAACATTATTGACAGATCGTAAAATACTAAAGTACAACTAACACCTAGTAGATAGCACAGAGCACTACAACTGCACTACGTGGGTCTGGGACCGCGTAGTGGACTACTTTCTGGGTAGTTTCTCTTGTGTGAAGTCCAACATAGCGGCGAATCCACTAGTAAACACATGTAGCGTCTAGAGTGGCGCTGTACGAAGGCCCAGTAGTCTTTTGACAAAGGCAGGCTTTAACCGTTCTAGTCTATGCATTTGCGTTACATTGAAGTTTTGCTAGGTGCAGGTGGATGTTGTACAAAACCACTGATGCTGGATCCATGTTAAAGAGGCGTATCACCGTATTCAGAATAAAAGTAACGATTTCTCGATAGTCACGCTTGCTACTAGGGCTTTTCTGGAGTGTTCTGTCACCCGCTTGATATAGTAGATACCGGAACAGCATACAGTTAAATCTAAATAGCAAAACTACTTCACCCACTCTAAGGGTGACGGGTACAACCGGGGTGTGTTATTTACTGCTAGCAACCCTGCTTTTCGAAACTTAGCCTTATCCGAGTTTACTTCCCGGCCCCTGATTATATTGCTGAAGGCGAACCAATGTCTGGCCAATGACTGTCCTTTAGGAATGTTTACATGAGTATAAGTTGGATTTTTTTTCTAAAACATAACTTGAAGAAGGCATTGAGATCCCAAACCTGATTTAACAGCTAGCGAGCAAAATTGTTTTTGGGGTTTCAATATGTTAGTTTTATCTAGGTTCAATTCCAGGTTGCGGCTAAAGAGAACACGGAAAAAAGATACGGCGTTTTATGTAAGCGTTCCCGTAAAAGAACCTCAGTTTAAATTGAATTCCATAAGTATCTTTAGACGTTTGCAAGTTTTAACCGCAATTTGACGAGCTAGCGTGTCAGCATTTGATAACTGAAATAATAACTTGAAGTGTTCCTTGCCTCGCAGCCACATGAATCTGAGGCAACACTGAGACTGAACTGATTAATACGCAAACCGATTAATATTAATAACGTAAACTCGTATCTTTGGTACTGTTTCTCTATACTAAGACGTAGTAGTGACACTGATTAATGTTTGGTTCAAATTAAAAACAGAAAAGCATAGTTCTCTTAGCTTGATTTGTTTAGAGATATCTTGCCCTTGAAAAAGTTTGAGTAATAGCAACTTATATAGCTGATTAACTCGTCGCGTCAAACTTCAATGATGTACTTTCAAAACGTATGGGACCCTTCCCCTTTTCTGTGGAGTATGACTTGTTTCACGGTTGCAGCCTAAACACAAGACTGGGCATCCGACTAAGTAGAACTAAAAATATTGAAAAATAATAAAATAATAATAATAATAGTTTCACGTTTTTGCGCATATGACATTAGTCACAAAACTACCTAAGCTACGGCCACCAGTACTGTTCTTGCGCCGATTTGAAATATAAACCTCTAGTCCAATTTAGTTCTTTTTTGCTTATTATTCTGATATATCTAATTAGTTGTGTTTTATTGATCTGACAGCAAAGGATTTTGTCATGGTTTGAAAAGACAATCTTGTTTTAATTATCTTATGCAAAATATATATGTATATATGTTTGCAAATTTTCAGTCCAAGTCATGTGGGTACAGGCATTCGTCGCGATGTCCCTCAGTGCGGATCTGCCTTTGTGTTACGGCCTGCTTCATTTGCCTCATACTTGCGGCGACGTTGGTGGCACTTTATATTCTGGATGCTTTTACACACTACCGGTGCGTAATTGGAATGATTTCGAAGCAGTTTCGAACACCTAAAAAGTGAAGCACCGAGCTTCAAGCTGAAATGCATGTAGAGTGTGTTGCAGGACTTGTCAAAAAACTTGTTGTATTGAGATCCAGGGAAATGTCGAAAAATGTTTTAAAATTATGTCAGATAAAAAAATTAAGGGCTGTTGGTCACTCCAATTTGTTTTCATAGAAATATATGTTACACAAACCCTAATTCTGTATTTTTTTTTTGCAGACCATCAGTATTTCGTGCTTACTTGTTCTTAGTGTATGCATTTTGGATTCAACTAAATCAGAGTTGACCTGAATATAAATGAATACCATTTAGTTTTTGCTCAGCTCCTAAATTCGATGAAAAATAATTTTTTCGTTACTAAATCGATGTCCTTTTACCAAAGCTCGAAAACCACTTAAGACTACCGATTTACGTAAGCTACAGCAACTTTTCACAAATTTTCCCTGACAAACTTTTTCCATCTTTCGGTCTCCGAAAAAAAATCACAATTTGCAGAATTTCCGTAGAACTTGATGTAGATTTTTTTGGCTTTCGTTGTTACAGTTCTCTTCTTTATTAGTTTGAAAGGTTAACAGTTGGCCTTCTTGAGTAACAGTATTGTTCTAATTGCGGGCATTTGTTTCGAGTGCAATGGTAGCATTACTAATAATGCTACTACTTATATGTTTGCGCCTGGGTGTGTCCTACAGACCAGCTGTATATGAAGAAAACCCCTTAGAAAATTGAAGTTGTAAACGGCACAGAGGTATTAGGTGTCTTGACATATCAATAGCCTTGTTACCTTAGGATCCCGTACGGTTGCTTTGTTCATGGTACCATAGTAGGTCCGAATACGAAGCTATTGCGAAACACCACTTACGTAACTTTGATATATTAGATAACTCAATAGGCTAATTACAATGTACATGTAAACACCAATATGGCGCGATCGGGCTCTGTGGAGAGGAAGGTACATAAGTATAGCTAATTAAAGCAAACATTGCACGTATACATATTATCTAACTAGATTAAATGTATATGGAGTGAATGGGCCGTCAATATCTTGAGGTCATCCCAATTAACGTTTTCGTTTTGTTTCAGAGTGAAGTATTCTATTATGTTTGATGCTGGTTCGACCGGAAGTCGTATGCATATCTTCCAATTCCAGATATGTTCCAATAACGAAATCCGGTTGGCGGGTGAAACCTACTACACAGTTTCTCCCGGTCTCAGCGACTACGCAAACAACCCCCATGAAGCGGGCATGTCACTCAAGTATGTTTTTCGTTATTAAAAAATTAAAACTGGAACCGGATAGTAGACATACAATTTACTTCTCAGCAACATGTGTAGCTTATATAGATAATGGCTGACAGTATCTAATGTAGAGTTTACAAATACAGCTACCTGAATGTAACGGCGGGCATTTCGAGCATCTCCAACATCTTTCATAAAGGACGTATGAAAGATAGAGATATAGATGGAAAATGTGCACTCAGCTTGTTACCGAAAAAACTATGTCTTACAAAATTAATAATAATCTTCTTCAAATTGCATTTATTTTGGTTGCGCATAGATTATCTTGATATCCGCTTTTATATTCAGGGTCTTATATTTGTGAGGGCTATGGCTGGTTCGCCGCTAGAGACAGCTGCTTGCAGCTCTCAAAACGCAGACATCTGTGTTTCCGTTTCAAGAATATTTATAAATAGATTTGCTCAAAGTAGCTTCGACTGTATACCGTATGTGCATCAATCGACCTAGTAGACTAGAATTAAAAAGTGATTGATTGTCATACCCCCTAAACAAGTCCATGCTAAACTTATTGATTGTAATCTCACCAACCCGAATACTCAGTCAGGGGCTAACCGAATCGCACTAATTAGAGGCAGAACCCTAGCTAATGTACCAAAACTCTCCAAATAATAAGAGTCTGTTCGTAGCGATGACACTAGTGTTTCTGGATTATATTGTCAGATACGGTACTTATAAGAATGCGATTGGGCTTTACCTCATCAATTAATCGATATTAGGTATTTGGTAACCAGAAATACCGTTCCCTCACTTCCCTCAGCCGGCTTCTCCCGGCCATGTAGAAAACCATAGTAAATTAAAGCAAGCAGACGTTTAGTGCGAAAATAGTAGATATTTTCTTTTGTGCAAGATAAAATGCATAACTTATTTAAGGGCAACAGAATTGTCGTTTCAGGCCGATGTTGGACAAAGCGAAGATTGCGGTGCCGGCATCAGAACAACGTTCGACTCCTCTGGTCCTAAAGGCTACAGCAGGTTTACGATTATTACCGAATAATGCGCAGAATCAAATTTTACACGAAATACAAAATACGTTTAGCCAATATCCGTTTAAGTCAAATAATAGTTCCGTGAGCATTATGGAGGGAAAAGACGAAGGTAAGTTGATAAACAAGTGAAGCTTCGTGCTATTTATTTAGTAAGTGGCTTCATTTTTCATTTTACGCAGTTTTTATTTGATACGTAGTTAGTCATTAAATATTTGTTAAATTTAAGTATGTAGTTCTTTTTTCGCGAAGAGAACTAATAGTGTAACTATTTTTCGTTACCTTTTAAATGTGTATTACATATTACGTTTACAGGTTTCTATGCGTGGCTAATGGTGGTGTTTACTCTCGGTCGAAAACTGAGAAAAAACTCAATCGCTACGTTAGATTTAGGTGGTGGTTCAACGCAAATAACCTTCCAGCCTAATGACAAAACAACGCTAGCCAAAAGTGAGCATCTTAGTTACTTCAAGATACCAGGAGGTAGCGAAGAGCTGATGTACGTCTATTCGTACCTAGGTGGAGGACTCATGTACGGCCGAGCGGAGATACTCAAACAAAATATAACCAGGAAAAATGGGACACATTTTTATGTAACTAGTCCTTGTATACACCCGGAGGTTGCGAAACTACCTGGTGGACTGTATTGGAAATACTTCGAAGCCAGTTTTGCCATAGGGCCAGATGATACAGATCGTTGCGGTTTCGAGGCATGCTACCTTCTGGCAAAGAAGTACGTCGACAGACTAAACATGTTCGCCCCGCAAGAATTGCCTTCACGGGAACTATACCTCATGTCATACTATTTTTACAGAGCAGCGAACGCTGATCTCATCCAAAAAGGCGTAGAGACTCAAAAGGACCTTGCTGTGAGCGATTACAGGGAACGGGCTATTTCTGGTAATTCAATCCTAACAATTCACTTAGGATATTTAGAAATTTGAAGGTATGCTAAATTATAGCACAGTAGCTCATATACATACAAGACATGGCTAGGGACTATCATGCCAAGGTTTATTTTACATTCGCAACGCTAAGTTTCGCAAAGGTTGTTGATAAAGAAAAACAGTTAAGATTAAATATAATTTTTCAAGTGAAACTACCGATCATCTTTAGATGCCAATAACGACTCGGTGGTAGTGAATACGGTCTCTTGCTGCTTAAAATTAAATTCAAGTGCATGAGTCGAAATGAGCTTCTTTTTGTCACGACGGCCACTGCAACTGAGACAGACACTCACCATAAAAACCGGAGAGTGTATTTAATTACGTTAAAAATATGATCTTGTTTTTATTAGTTTCTAATTCGATGGTTTTACATTTTGCCACACAGAATGCGCCTCCAGTTCAACGCGTCCCAAGGAGGACACATTTCTCTGCATCGACTTAACGTACATCTATGCATTGCTTCACGAAGGTCTCAAATTGCCCGATAACACCAAGATCACGGTGAGAGATCACATTTAGAGAATTATGACATCCGGGCCAAATAAATAATCGGTGCTAATTTTTATATTACTAGCTCAAAATAAATTTACCTCTGTTTCGCTATAAATAAACACCGATCACGTTTCTGAAACCTCCTAGCAAAAGAGGCCCTGCTAAAAGTCTTGCAATAACCATCATTCATAATGTAAAGAACCAGAGTCCCAATCGTAGATACAGAAGGAAACTGGTTTGTTGCTTGGGTATTTATGCCCGATGTGGCAAATGTAAATTATGATATTTAATTTAATAATTTAGTCTATCCTGGCATCTCCTTTGACTTATGTTATTTTCTCTGTATCATCGTTAAGTTCTAGTTATATTACGTTTGCAGTAATTTCTATCTAAAGGTCCGCATGCAACATTTGTAATGTTTTTAAGCCACAAATCTGGTTTAATTATTTTTTGCAGATCGCCTTACAAAGGAATAGTGCTTGTATGCCTATTATCTTGTTTAAGACGGACAGATAATACGTCAAATAATTGTAAACCTTCAATCTAATAAACTGTAATTCAGTTTGGCATAGGTCGTTTAAATCTGCAAGGCCACAAACTATTGGAAACATGCTGGATTCTACATAAGTGCAGCAAGAACAATCCCAGTTAAGCCTTCTAGTGTGCGCTAGTCTTTTATACTTCATTGATTCCGAAAACCTGTACATGCAATAGAGGTAACTAGAGGCTTTCAAAAATGCATTACGTTGATGCGCTCTGATGATGGAAGTTTTGTAATAGTCTGTTCGTTGTTTTCTTAATCATAATATACTTTTAGGTGGCACAGAAGCTTCGTGGATCCGAGGTGAGCTGGGCGTTTGGCGCAGCTTTAAGCGAACTCGAATTGTGATAATTGAGGCACCTTTGAAGGTCACATCTTCTGCAGCGGATTAGCGGTGCTCAGTACAAGGGAAGACTTTAAAATAATGTTTGAAAAAACGCTAAGACATTTTTGATACCAACGAGTATTTATTGTAGTAACAAACACCATTTTAGCAAATTAGCTTAAAATTGTAACAGAATAAGATAAAAACGTATGAAACACCATTCATAGAATAGCGTTACGGAACAATTTTAGAGGTGAAGTAAATAGCTAAAAAAAAGTCTAAAATTGATTCTAGACATGATCAGTTACGACTCAGAACAATAATACGAAATAATCAATTATTAATGTGAAACTTTTCTTTTGGTAAATAAAACAATAAGAGCTATTTGTGTTTCCTTAGGTGACATAAAGAATTCGTTCCCAACTGTTGTTTGATATTGTAGAATCATTAAAACGTAATTGTGACCCGCCAGTTTTACCGAAGCTGGATAGACAAGCTTGCATATATATATATATATATATATATACACACACAGTGGAACACAGAGAACAGTATTTATATAGTTTCTAGGGATGGCACCAATAAGCTATTGTATAACCGGTCATCCGAAAAGCTGTTAGACACTGTGCAAATTAGGAAGTTGTACGTGGAGATTCACATAATTGTATGAGTGCAAAAAAAGGTTATGTATGTATACATAAGGTGACTACTTTAAAACTGCACTGCCGACAAACTTTGAGATTAAATAAAGCTAAAACATGCCCTCCATGTTGTGATTAAGAGTACCAGCTCGTACTAAAATCTACAATACAACAGGTATTATTATTATTTTATAGTGGTTTTTTTGTTTATAGCTTCGCTTGACGCAGTTTCCATGTTACTGTGTTCTTGGCAAACGTACATAGATATTATTTTCACTTTGAATCGGACGCTTTTTAAATCAAAATTGACACTTGCTTTTTTCGTAGATTGATATGTATGTAGGAGCGTACCTGAGCAAACTCGCCGTAAATATTGTCTACGCGTTAAAAATTGTCACTTATAAATGTGAGATGTATTCAGATCGAAGCTATGCGCAGGGCTATCGGAACGCGAGTTAATTACTTACAAAATGTAATAACTGTTAAATGTAAAAAAAGGTAAATACACTGTTCTAAAACAATGTAATTATAAATATCTCAACTTATCGTGAGCATTTGTATCGCAGTTTCGAGCTTGAGCGCTAGCGTCGATTCCTTTTTTAGTTGATTAACCAAGATTTTGTAGCATATACATATATGCTAAATATACTATGAAACTGCATATTAAGGGTCGTCGGTGGTTTGTTCAAGCATTACATAACACTACAACGTTTTGAAATCCCTGAGGAGCTCTGAGAGATTTATCATTTAACGCTGTTGGTTGCAACTGCGTATGAGTTATCACCATTCCATACATCTACTAGAAATAGACCGTAGCAGAGACGTCACGGTTTACATGGTTCGAATCCACATTTACCGCAATGTCTCAATACGCATGAAAGACTGATTGTAGCGCCAACACATGAACGCTGTAATGTCGTGCAACGCATCGCTGATACGGGGAAAGTCGTTATGCATTGCTCCAAACGATTTGCTTGTGCTAGCACGAAACGACGCGTACCTACGCCCAGTTTTTCGCCTAGATCATTGTGTGGCCTTAAGTTTAGTAGGCAAACGGCTCCCAGCCGTTTTCCTTTGCTGAATCTCCAAATAGGAAGTCTTAATTTTGTTGACAAAGTAAGATTTCCTGAAGTATGATGATCCCAGATTATATTTTCGGGTCGAAGAGATAAGGCGGCGTCGTCGCAGCGAAGAGGCAGTTCAGGGCTTTTCCAATGTCCCCGTAATAATAAATGGTCAGTAGCCCAAGGTATGCGAATGGTCGTGCGAGGAACAATGCACCAATGCCTTAAATATATATAGCCTGAAGTAACGATATTTCTGGGATAATACAAAGTCATTTAAATCATGTCAACAAACATTCCACAATAGACTTTCGCATCGGTTCGTTCTCGGATCGGCTCAGTTCCTTAGTCTAAGCGATTTGTTGCCCTTTCGTACCATTAGTTACACGCATTAGACACGACGCACTGCTTTTGGCACAGATGCAATTTATTTGGAAAACACCATTCTTATATATCGATACTGACGGAAATACCTAGGTTACAAAATAGTATACATATATATATATATATATATATAAGCATTCATAACCCAAATGAGTTGAAACAATTATTTTTTAAGACAACATACCGGTGTTGTCTCTTGTTACTTGCGTGTCGTGGCCAACACTATTTAAAAAAAACTTTTCAATCATTTTATTCTTAGCACAGAGCTAATTTGGTTACTCACTGCTCCTTTGAACGAATTGGTATTTGAATATCGTTGGTCACCGACTGGCTTCTGTAATGTTAGGTTACAATTGGCTTAGCAACGGAACACAAAGTTCTAAATTGTTGTTTGATATCGAGACTCTCTACTTTGTAATTTTCTGTGAACTTTGTGCCGTCACTGCCACACGTCTGAGTCTTATCAAAAGATCTAAATACCAAAAAAATAAATGCTGGTATTCTCTGCTAATCCTTAATAATGGTACCCTATTTTGATATTCGTAGCATACATCATAATTTCTTCCCTTAGAGATTATCTAGCAATAGCATAGGACTTATAGTTTTAATTCAGGAAAAGCACTTTTTGACTATTTTTTTTTTTCAAGGGACATAAACAGACTGACCCATGTGTGCTTGGTTAGTTATAGAATGAGTTTTGTTGACTCTTTTTTGGTAGTGGCATGGAGAGTTAACTATACCTAGCTTCATCTGGTTAGTTCAATGTTACTCCTGGCTTTTCAAGTAGAGTCTTTTGGTAATAATTATATAATTAGTAATACTAAGCCAATTTTAGTTGATAGTCTCCAGAATTCTCAACTCAGTTTAGCCAAAAACATTTTCAAGTTCCATTACCAGTTAATCAGTTGTAAAACTTAATATGGAATCACTTCGTGATTCCATGACATGGAAAGTGACATGAAAAGTTAGAGTATTTATTTGCTAAGTCGGAAATGTTACTCATAGTGCACCTCGCTACTCGTACCACAGCCACTGGTGATCATGCTGCCCTGATAACGTTAATATACCTCGACGAAGTCGCCGTACTTTCTGCAGAAAGTCGTCTTCAGGAAGTACTCTGTGCTCAATGGCTTTGACCTACACCCCAAAACGTCGAAGTGCTCGTTAACTACTGCGAGAAACCATAGGGACAAAGGGGTTTCCCTTCTGGAAATTTTCCATGATATAGAAAAAGTTACTGTGGTAGCTATCCCAGTGCTATTTACTATTCATTATTAGTTGCGCTTCCTGGAACTGGCCCCTTATTACCGCCGGGACATAGCCAAAGTCTTGAAACCACTGCACAATTTGTTAAGAGCAGACGTTCGTTTAGCATGAGCTGTGCCTAAAAAAATAGCATTTCTGGCTTTGAAGGATACCCTAACAGGTAGATTCATCTTGCAGCAATTCCGGAAAGGGTTGCCCATCGTGGTTACAGACCGATGCGAGCGGCGTCAGCCTTGGATGGAGCTCGACCAGTCTGACGGGGGCGTAGAGCGCATGCTAACTTATGTGTAATGGCGTTTCTTAGTTCAAGGCGCAAAATGGCGTTCACCGAAGACGGAATGCTGGCCTGTTGTTTAGATAGTCAAGAAATCTGTATGGACGGCGGCTTCTGATGGCTAATGACAGTAGCGCAAAAGGGAGTGCTTCTCCAGCTGATGTAGTCGGCTCTGGAGCTGTCGCTTCGAAAAGGGACAATAGATGATGCTGACCGCAAATCGTTTCCAGCACATCAGCTGGCGAGCCCACGTTAGGTCCTAGTAGTCACCATGCTTCAGACAAGGCCGGGTCGTATTGCCGTTGAAGGACGAAGGACAGGCCGCCTTCTGATACGGGGAGCCGTTGCACCGTTTCGAACTTCGGGGGCTCGGGCCGGTTCTCCCGCTGCCTGCCACCAAGGTCATCCAGGCTCAAAAAAGGCTGCATGCCTGCGGACATCCCGTTACTTTCAGTAGAAAACTGCCTAGGCAAGTATCCGAAAGCACGTCCGCAATTGTTACATTTGTTAGCAAATAAAACCGGACCACGGGCACTGTCTTCCCTAGACGTTTGTGAAACCGCCAGCATACTTTAGTGCAAAGATAGGCCTAGACTTGTATCAGGCTGTCCCGCATATCCGTAAACGAGCCCCTCTTCGTGACAATTTGTAGAGATTACTCGCTGACTTTTTCCATGGACGCGATCGTCACGAATAACTTCGGCCATTTTGTAACTGTGACTACATCTGGTACGAATTCTAACATTAGTCACATGTGGGGACCACCATAATCCATTCGCAAGCGAACAGATTAGTGGAGCTGACGATCGGCATTGTCATAGAGCTCTCTTCGCGCATTTTCTGGAATCGCGATGAAATTAATACCACGTTAATGAAACGCTAGGCGCAACACTATACGATAGACTTTACGGATAAAAAAAGATGCCTCCAAAAAACTGCCCAGGCACGATAGTTTTATATCCAAGCTGTAGCCGAGGTCTATATACCAAAGTTTGCCCGAGGGAGCGGATCCCCAAAATAGATAACCATACCGGTAACAATTTTGAACAACTAGGATAGGAAAAAGAGTTGTAGATTCTATATGGATTATTTTCCTATATAAATATGAATTATTTTTAGATAAAGACTGAAATTGTAATCATTCAAACGTAAATAAAAATTGAATTTATAGTATTCAAAGCATGTATACATTTTCGTATGTAATAGCTCGAAGCCATACAGCATACGCATCACCCGTCCTTGCAACGGGCTTTCATGCGTCACCGGTAACACTAATAAAAAAATAAGGCCAAAAATAGAAAAAAATTGCCAGTTTTTCGATTTTGTAATTCCATTGTCGGACAGATGAACGGCTGAACTTGACAATTCTAAAAAACATTTAATCTGAAAAACTGTAAACCTAAATTTATCATATACTATAAAGGAAAGTTTAATATAAAAAAAAAAAAAAAAAGGAGGCAAAGTGCGGAGTAACATGAAGGTTTAAAAAGTATGGTATAACTGGTGTATCAAGGCAAACAAATGAAATCAGATAGTGTCAGATTTATGAAAGGCCTACATGGATGAGTGGGTCCAATCACAAGGAAATATTTTTTTCTCATGGACACCGGACTGTTCTAAACAATATATTTAGAACCTGTTTTTCAGAGGAAGCTAATTAATACAAACATTCTATTTGTCTTAGATTCAATGAGATGTTTGCGGAAAGTCGTAGAAGATTAATCGCGTTGTAAGATTTATGTTTGATATGGTAAAAGTAACCAAGTGTACCTAGAACATAGCCAATATACAGTGTATATACATAAAAATGCTATTCATATTGTTACTGTATTAAGCAGATTTGCATTTGCCGCTTCTCAAATAATAACAAACATCTTCATACCGATCTTAGCTAACTTTTTATAGGTATATTCATCATAAGGTAAAAAACAATGTTTAATTTGGCTTTCGGTTCATACTCTGAGCAGCTCGATGTTTACCAGCGTCGCCGGCGATGCGACTACCACGGATCACGACTTAATAACACGTACTAAGTGAAGCAGCATGGTCATTTATTCATGTTATGATCCATATATTTTAAGGATGTGATTACTATATATACAGGTGCCACGAAATTCGAAACAGACCAATTGGGGTAGCCTGCAGCCTGTCGCTATCTAGCTCCTTCAAATATATAGTCTCGTTAATTCCTTTCAACACAATTTATTTTTTAAAATGTATTTTCTCATTTCGTAAATATATCTCCACGTTTCCAAACTTAATATACCTCATTACATTCGGTAGTTGTGTATATGGTACATACATTGTGTGAGTGTGTTCCCTGGTCGAGCACAAGATTCATTCTTTAAATGTCGCTCAGAACTTCCGTCGGATGAGCAGTTGCAGATCATAACGCATCATTCTGATAACGAGGATTTATTCTTTGGGTCGTTTCATTTGAACCCATTGTGCGCTGATCGGAACGCCAGTATTTGGCGAACCAGCAAGATTTGGTGCTAGCATAGAATCGTTCTGTCATTACTATATTCTGTGAATTTCTTGATAGTTCTTGTGCTCTATACTCATACGCGAGAAGATAAGCCCTAGTTCAGAGATGCAGGGTCCCACAACAGAATCAAGAATTATCCGAAGACTCTGACGTATGGCAAACATGTTGATACGAAACTGCAAATACAACGATAAAACGTAGCGTTAAAAACTTATTGCCATAATAGTCTCTCTAAGGAAGCTTTGACATGGCAGTCGTCATGAAAGTATAGACCGCTTTCAACGCCACATCGATTTGTTTATTTAAGAAATATAGGCTTGGTCGTCTTTGTAAAAGCTAAAATAATACATCTTATCTCAATAATTTTGTGCTTGAATTAAACGAACTAGATTTCGGTCATGTGTGTAGAACACCAGGCGGTGGAAACCGAATATTACAAATCGCATATTATTGCTTACACGGTGACATAAGCTTTCGGCTAAAACATGACGGCTTTTACCACTCTAAATGGGGTAAAAGTGTTTTGCTGAGCAAACATGCTTGTGAGACCGCCCGCGAGTTTATCTGAGGCGGAGCAATTGCCCGCCATGTTCGCTAACACCTACCTGTCGGAGGCATGGATGTAGCAGCCAAATATGAAGACAAGACAGGATTGCGAATATAAGTCCTGCCAATAACGCCACAGGAAGCGCGCATAGTGCTGTCAAGGCCTAACCCATCATTAAATAAACAATATGTAATTAACAAGAGAACGAAAGGACAGTATCATGGCCTTTCAGCGGCTAGAGGCGTATTACTGAAATAAAGACCTAAAGAGGAACCTTAGTCTTTTTCGTCTACTAGGTAAACACACAAATACCTAGATTATCAAGAACATTTTCGCCCCTTTATTGTTTATTGCCCTCTTAATAGACCTGAATTTCCTTGGAGGGAAAAAGGATTATTTTCAAACACCATGACAAAAGTTGGGAGGCGCTGCTTTTTAACAGAAAGAACCGCTTACAACGTACGAAAGCGTAGTTCTACCAAACAGAGCTTAGGATGCTCAGCTCATAAACTAAATGCGATATAAAATAGGTAGATACACAGTATATGTCTGATGCGTAAAGGCTACCCAATTTTAGATTGGCCTATGTGACATTCATCGGGTTATTTCATATTACTCCGCGTGTACAAGTCCTATATTCATTCACACCCAACAGTTAAACTAATCTTCAATTTAGGATTTTTTTGTAAATGAAGTAACAACATTCAACATGTTTAAATGATTCAATAGCTATACGTATTGACGCGGTTGGGAAAACGAAGGCGTCCACGTAGTTAAAAAACAGAAATACTTGAACTTGTGTGATACCGTCGCATTATATAACTGACGACTGATAGATTATATCAGATTCGCCCGGTCCCATATTTGTACTTTGCAAGAGCAGATAGATCTCTCTCTGTCTTCGGTTGAACTTGCATATTCTAGCATAGCAGCACAGCAGAGTTTCTTTCGGTGTCTATTTTGGCTAATTCTTTATTTAGCCACTATACATTTATTAGACTTACTTTATAAGTGATGTCCTTCGTCACGCCAAAGACTTTCGTCGCGAGAGACCATACCTGCGGTACTGTTTTATACTGATCCGGCTCAGCGATGAGTTCTTCCAGCGTAAGCTAAAAAAAAAAAAAATTGAAATATTAGAATTGTCTTCTGATTTGAATAGGATTGAATTTATAAATGCAGTCATTAAAAAGTCAACCTAAACATAGTATTTAAGGGTTATTTTTCAAGAATTTTCGACACAATAAAGCAAATCAAATTGAAAAATGGCGGGATTTTTTAATCTGGTAAATGGTGAAGGACAGCACATTAATGCAACAAAATGCCTCGCTATATAAAAAGGGTTGTGACTTTCAAATTACTGTTTGTGTTTACAAGAGATTAAATTGCGATTCGGGCTACTATAATTTAACTAAAATTTCGCGCGAACGCTTTTGTTCAACTAGTCCCAATTAATCCATTTCATTGCAGTAGAATAAGGATGTACGATAGGGGTAGACCGAGTCACGTACGGCCTCCTCTGAGACGCGCTCGAACGTGTTATCTCTCCGTCTCGAAACGACTATCATCAGCTTACTTGCATTACGTATTACTAGTCATACAAATAACGGGCACGCATCACAAGAGTCATACAAGCCTTCAAACTTCAGCCTGGCTATTATCGGCACGACATAGACGTGTCAGCCGTTGACATCACATTGCCGAGGTCCGCATAGAAGGTTACGTGTATTAAATAGGAAGTAGATTTTTCGATTCTCCTAGTTTTAACACATTAGTAAGGAGCAACGTTTAACATATTAAATAACAATGCGTGATTAAGTGTTATATCTATAAGGTGGGACGACAATATGTCACATGCACTCCCCCTTGCTGTTCAGCCAGCACTTCAGAAATTTCTCGACAGCTGCAGAGGGTCTGTGCGACTACTCGGCGTCATGGGGGTCATAAATGTGGGACCATCACTGGCGCAAATTTCAGCGTTGACAAATGTCCATTGTGCCGTATAGTTACCGTGCTGCTTCATAGATCCATTAGAAAACCCCACAGTGTGGCAAGATCCACCCTGGCTAGGCCTAGTGCGGTAGCATCCTTGATGCTATATCAAAAAAATAATTTTGAAGGTTTGTATACACAATGAAAATAACTGAAAACTTTAGAAAAATAGCAGACGTTGTGTAGTTGCATTACCATATATAATGTAGTTAGAGAGAGAGCTTCTTTGAACGACTCGGCGCTTTGGTACGTTCTGTAGCTATGGCGCTCTTTAAAGTATGAAAACAATCGGAATCACAAATCGGACTTCGATCTGAAAAACAAGAGGGCGGAAGCCATGGTTCAAATCTATTTTCCTCTATCCGATCCGTAATTAAAGCGTATTGTGCGCTGTTGATTGCCACGCCAAACGTCCATGAAGCCTTTTAGGAAATGGAGCTATCTGGCAGTATTGACCATTTCCTTTACTGGCGACATGTCGTCATAAATGCCCTGATATTTAGCAGAGAAAACACTAGACATGTCCTATTTTGCTCAAAAACTATCATAACCTTTACAATCTGTTTGGGACTCTGACATATAATCACCTTCTCTGCATCAATCTGCAATCATCAATTTTCGTTCTTGAAATAAAGAAACTGTACCAGTAGCGAACGATTATTGCTTAGGATCTCTTTGTCCAGTATTTTTATCGATCGTCAATGTGTACAATTTATGCCCTCTCCTTCAGGAAGCGAGACAGGGTCTCGGTCGCATCATTTTCAGCAGGAAACGATATGTTTGCTTCTAAATCCATTACTGTCTAAAGATACTTTAAAGGCTTAGGATAAAGAGTCGCCATTTTTTCGGCTAATAGTGAATAGTTTACAAGGTATTCTACTCGTAAGATGACTTCAAATTGGCTAATATCAAAACGCTCATAATAGTATGCCAGAGACCAATGTTTGCTATTTGGTATTTGACGGTATTTTTTTCATTTTCTAGAGCTCTTCGGAAGCTGGAAGCATTTATTCGAATATTGCCGCGTGGTTTTTTTAGCAGGTACGTTGTAGCAAGCCATGGAATACATGACAATTCGAGTGGTTTACGAGTATGCGATTCATTTTAGACCTGCAACGACGGAATCAATTTGGCGTATTAAGATCGGATTCGGTGCGTCGTCTGCTAAAGAGCCGTTATTTTAGAAAATGCTGGAAAGCACTTTCTCAACTTGCCAGTAAGTCTTGTTAAAAACCCGCTCTAAAAGAAAGTATCGATATGTTGAGAGCTGTGGAGCCGACCGATCTCAAAGTTTATCGATACTAGCTAACGCTCAGGTTAAATGTACGCGAAAATAGTTATTTGCCGTAGTAAAATTATCAAGCTAAAACAATAGGTGGCAAATGCTCAGTTCAAAGTCGAAGCCGTAGGAATGCTTGCTTTCACACTGACCATTTGGGCATCATATTGTGATTTAGGATGAAAAATCATGCATTACTCTTACATACTAAAATGTTTTCATGATTCTCTTAAAATAGAAAGATTTTGTGCGAATTTCAATCTGATGTCTTTTGGAGGCTTCAACTTACATAGCCCAGACCTGTGCAGCGGTGGAATATTTAAGTTATCGTTCAAATAGCGACGCGTCAAGCTATACTATAGCTTAAAACATAAAACACGCTTCTATAAAGAGTTCACAAAATTAGTTTACTATCTTGCGTTTTAAGCTAAATCTAATATATATATATATATATATATTAGCGTTGTCGAAAAAGTATTGAGCGATGTTAACCAAAAATAAAGCAGACATTTTCGACAAAACTAAATAGGTACAAAACAGGTAGTCCAACGGTAAATCCGCATGCGTCAAAACTCTCGCGACGGCTTGTAATCCTATTAGTTGTTGAAAATAGATATCCAACACAATTTTCTCTCAGGCACTAACATCTCATCATGCATTGTTCCTTTCCAATCCCATGAAACACAGTGAATCTCTGGCTTCAGCTAGAACTTTGCCACAGATTGTATTAATTTACATGTCGTATATGATACTTTTTTTCATCGCTCGTGATCAGTCGTTTTATAATAGATAGCTCGATTTAGTTGTGCTTCTTTCGGAGTACATTTTTTTTTTGCATCAAGATTTCTTTAAATTATCTTCCTCGACTGGCTCAAAACTATTTGCTCGGTAATTCTCTAACGATATGGTGACTACTTCCGCGTTGGCTCACCGCCTGCTCAACTTTCGCAATAATTTCACCGACTTTTTCCATAATTGCTTTCCCACTACAAAAAACATTTTTCCTATTGGATTTTTTTTTAATCTGAAATTTTTTGCAGATCCATCTTTGAATTGTTTCTTCCGATAACGCATTTTAATACCCATAGACACGGCGTCTAGTCGTAGTCAGATTGCAAAATCATATTAACTGTATTGTCGCGCTACGGCCTATGATGAATCATCATGTTTAAATATAGTGAGTAACTCATAGCATAGTGAGGACAGATCATGTGAGAGGTGGGCGTATTAGTATTTCAACTGTCTCGCCGAGAACGTTGTGTCCGACCAAAAGCTCGACCTAGTCCAGGTTTAATATATGATTCGCTGTTGTCCTATTGCCTCTTATGAGAGCAGTGATCGGCTTCTGCGGCCCTGCAGGTACTTTCAAATGTTATGGGTATAGAATATAATCGCAGATTGGACGCACTGTATAGGAACGCCCAAACCCATGAAAAGTTCTAAACTCATCATATAAATCTAAATATATAGAATGTAGATCTTAGCGTAGTTGAATAGCTGTTAATAATACCCTTGAAAACCGGAGTTTTACCGACATTATTAAGACACCGGGATTGTGTATAGTTTTACTATAGATGTTCGAAGAAGAAGATCTTATAGGCATAATGATTATCAGTAACTTGCCAAAACTTTACTGGACGGTTAATTCGAGTTCTTGTCCTATAGATCAACTAACTACAACATACAGTTTGGTTGTGGTAAGAAAGAACGAGTCTAGGTCAGCTGAACGATAACTTATTCAGAAATTAAACAATCCAACAACGGACTGATTCAAATACTTGCAAAATGAGTATCCCATATTCACGACCTATATGCCATCGAGTACTTGCACCAATCCGCGTATGATTAAATTCAGCTGGACCTGGTACAAACGCACACGTCTTACGCTGCTTAAGTTGGAATTGTCCGCGAAATGGTAATGCTTGAAAAATTAACTTTTTATCGTTACACAGATGTTCCGTTTTTTATTTCTCTCAGATTTAAACTTATTATCAACAATGCACACGCTACCACACACTGCTCATTAGCTAACTTCAACCTGCTGTATCTTCCATAATTTAGAGCCAAAAATGTGTTATAGATTTGAAAAATACGCTTGTTAGGACAATTGGGATAGGTACAATGTAGGGTAGCCATGTAAATGTCGCTTGTTCATTTAGACATCGTTCCGGATCTAGATACTGCATACGATGACATATCTGTAACGCTTATCCAAGAGAATGACGTAGTATTTCCGGAAAGACGTAAATGACAACCGTGGAAGCAAAAATACAATATCGCACGTCCTGATCTTGTGTCTGGAACATGTTAGTTTAAATGACAATACTAGTCTGCTCAAGTCTATTACCCTTCAAGAAGTCCAATTGTTTTCTTCCGTATTTATCAACGTAGATTATTTAGGACTAAGTGATAACTACTATCTAGTTAATTTTATTATATTCGTTTCCCTAAGAGTGGTTTGTTCCCACTTTAGTTTGGAGTAAAGACAAGTTACCTACATTTTGCTAACACAGACACACACTCAGTTATACAACATCTATCAAGTTGACTGAACTGTTCGTTACGCAATGTGTATGGACGGTATACCATGATATTGATCATGCAATTCACCCCAGCTTTAGTATACGTTCTATATATCAACTTATTTTATAGAAATGTAGAAGTCATAAGAAGAAGAATAATTATTACCAGATATCTTTTAGCTTCTCCACTTTTGACTGATTCTTGGCTGAGATTGTCTCACAGCTTTTTACTCTTGGGACGCTTTTGATCCAGCTACGAGAATCGAAAGGTTTCAGTGTCGTCGCTATCACGCGTCTTCCGCACGTGCTCAGCCAATTG